GTCAGCAATAAAAGATCTCTCATACAAGAAAATATGCGAGGCTTAAATAGAGGGCTCCAAAAATCCTAATTTTTAAGAGATACATCTTCTGCTTGATACTGTACGATACAAATATCGTACAGTACAATCATTACAAAACCAAACTCATATAGAATCATATGAACAATCATTCAGACAAACTATTCAGACCTCATAACACTTCATATTGTACAATCATAAGATTATTTAGTATGAACTATAAAAATTCCTTCTGTTCATTTGGGATGACTTCTGGGATGGTTAATTTCATACACTATCGATCATCCAACACTGTGAACATCGTACATTATGATCAGTATAAAAATCATGGCTTTCGTTTGATACAATCTTTAATATGAACAATTTTATACTCTTTCGATTATATTGTATTAACAATATCATACAAAAAGATTGGTTGATCATAATTGCCCATGATTTAATTGTTTGATTTTCAGGGTCAAATAAAGCAAGATATTAATACGGTAAAACAGTACAATTGTATTCATACCACACAATTAGTATAAAAATAGAATCTTCCTTAACACTGGAGATAAGGGTTTTATAGAACAAACTTAATCATACTGTATGATTTAACTCGTGCCTTTCTAAATGGGATGATTAAGGAAGATGTTGATGTTGAGCAACCCTCAGGTTTTTAGAATTTATAATTTCCCAATCATTTATTCAAATTAAATAAGGCATTATATGGATTGAAGTAAGTAGATAGAACTTGGTATGAGAGACTTAGTACATTCCTCCTAGATAGAACCTTTGTTAAGGTTAGTGTAGACACTACCCTATTCTTTGAGAAAGTAGGAGAATATCTACTCATTATTCAAATTTATATTGATGATATACTTTTTGGATCTACAAATAAAAGTATTTGTGATGAATTTTCAAAAATAATGAATGGGAGAGCTTATATATTTTCTTGGATTTAATGTTAAACAAATGGAAGATGGAACATTTCTTAACTAATCAAAATATATCAAATATATCATTAAAAATATGAGATGAATAATGTTAAGGCAATTAATACTCTTATAAGCTCTACCATTCAATTAGACAAGGATCCCAATGAAAAATTAGTTGATCAGAAGAAATATAGAGGGATAATTGGATCACTTCTTTATTTGACTACCAATAAACTTGATATCATGTTTGGTGTATATCTTTGTGTTAGATTTCAGGCTGATCCTAAAGAATCCCATATGATTGCTATTAAGAGAATACTTAGATACATATTAGGCACTTAAAACTTAGGTATGTGGTATCGTAGACATAGCTCATCCTTTAAAATCATAGGATATTCAAACTCAGAGTTTACAAGATGTAGGTTAGGTAAAAAAACACCTAAAAAACTTTTTAATTCATAGGTCAATCATTAGTTTCATAGTCAAGTAGAAAGTATAATTCAGTAGCCCTATTCACTACCGAGGTGGAATATATCACTATAAAAATTATATTTCTCAAGTCTTATGGCTGAAGCAACAACTCTTAGATTTTCGACTACATATAGGCATCATTCCTATTATGTGTGACAATACTAGTGTCATATGTATTTCTAAAAATCTAATCCAACACTCCCACACTAAGCATATAAACATTAGATATCATTTCATTAGAGATCATGTAGCCATCACCTCATATAGCTAGTGAAAATCAATTGGCAGGCATTTTTACCAAACCTTTTACCTATGATACCTTTAGTACCTTGAGGACTATATTAGGTTTTAAAGACATTCATGATTGATTCAGGATAAATCTGAATTACTATCATTTGAAATCAACCATTTTTATGTGCATTCTGATGTGTGGCACATTTTAAAATTTTTTGACTATTTGCTTGTTGATTTGTGTTTTTATTTTTCGTTTATTTGTTATTTTGCATTTGGTAGATGTTTCCTGATCTCAACACACCTTTTATATTAAATATAAAAAAAAAAAATTGAAAAAACAAAATTTGTTAAAATCGTACTATATAATTAACGTCATATTGTATGATCTACACATTCATGCACAAATCTCTGCCTTCCATGAAATCAATGACATTGATTTGATCAATTATTGGTGATCAAACTATATGAACCCATCTTCGTATTATATGATACATGTGTCAAAAGTCATTGGATGAATTCAAATTGACTGGTATGATATTAATTGACCTATCGTATATACGAACACCTGTTCGTACTGTATGATCAATTTGGTCAAGAATCGTATAGACGACTCCTAAGGATGAACATTTTTTCTTAATATCATCTAGTATGATCCTTATCGTATTGTATAATTTGGCCACCTTTTCCAATAAGTTATCTAGACAATTTAAATTTGTCTGAACATATTATATGATCTCAAATCGTACTGTACGATCAGTTGAAAACTCTGTAAATTGAAGGGGTTTTTAAAGCTAAACTCATCCAATTCTTTAAATATCTTCTTTCTTCTTGACTCATACCTTCAATTGTTTAAATGGCCAGAGGTAGCAAGCACACTAGTATGATCCAAGGTGACAGTTCTTCCTCTTGTCACCCTGTCACAACCTCTTCCGATTTGTAGAAGATGAAGCAACCAATTATCGACATAAGGAAGCCCGCATCACTCCATCCAGATTGCTATTCCAATAAGCCCTAAATTATGAGGTGATGAACCTCTTCACATACACCACTCTCCAATTCTTACTTACATTAGCCGTCCTGTTCAATTCTAAGCTTTTTATGATTTTTTTTGCCAATCTTAAGATTAGCGTCGATGTCCCTATCATGAGTTCTTATGTTTGTAGACGCCTTATAGAAATTACCAAAGATGATTTAGCCTAATATCTTCACCTATCCACAGAAGGACCTCAACCTCATTCAATGTATTCTAGGGGCGACTATGATTGGAGTGTTGTCAATTTAACAATTAGGAATATTGCCCTAAACCAACGTCATCCTCTTGTCCATTCCTTAAATAAAAATGTCTGCATTATCCATTATGTTCTGCAAACATCAAACATTCTTAAAGCTGGAGATTGAGTAAACATTACCCACTCCTATCCTTTGTTACCTACTTTGTCATGCATGGAACATAGTTTAATGAAGCCCAAATGATTATCAACCATATCCATAATCTCACCTCCATCCTCCTTCCTTCCACATAAAGGAAGCAAAATATTACTTTAGGACAAGTCATTGCCAATGTTCTAGATAAAAAGTATGAACTTGTCCATCCTACCATTGTCGATCATTTCCCAATTTTCTACATCGAAAGTTCCATCAACATTCTCTTTCATCACTAGCGGAGACATGAAGTAGAAGAGGAGCCAATTTTGATGAAAGAAGTGGGAGACCATCTGACAGCACCCCCTTACTCTAGCTTCTGCTAACACCAGCACTAGCTTTCCAACATTCTTAGTATGCGTCCTTAAGTCAGAGAGTTGATCAGTTGTCCATAAGCTTCAACACTTACGCCCATTGGCAGTATGAGCAGCACTAGTTCGAGAGCTTCCAGTTAGACATTTCTGCCCTGATTTAAGATACAACGACACATGTCTTTGATACCTGTTGTTTAAGCAAGGAAGAAATTTATACCTCTATGCATGCTGAACGACGACAAGGGCGGCTGTGGATATATATATATATAAACATTCAATCAGATCAAATTGTTTGGGTGGATCGACTTCGGCCAAAGAGAATCGAGCGAAAGAGATGGCTGTAGGATGAAATTGGGTTAGGCAAGGTAGCCAATTAGGTCTGCTGATGTCAGGATTGAGGGAGATGAGTCATGCAAATTGCAGCTAGGATCAAGCCATGCATGCAGAAGGAGAGTGGCTGAGGGATGGGATCGCGTGCGGGATTCTAGGTCGGGTTGATTGGGTTGAACATAGGCGGGTTTGCATGCAGAGGTGTGGGGTACGTCTGCACAGTGAGTGAGTGAGAGAGAGAGAGAGAGAGAGAGAGAGAGAGAGAGAGAGAGGTCGTGTGTGTGGGAGGTGGTGCGGAGGTCGAGTCTCGCTGGCGAGTCGACGAGTGGCCGAGTTTGGAGACTATGGTCCTTCATGCGAGACAAGGTCGAGATGGATATGCGAATGAAGAGAGAAAGAGAGAGAGTTCCGACTTCGATTCGTCTGTATCTTTTGAATCGAATCGAGGGAACGATTTGTTTGCCTTTGTATTGTGCAAGTTCCGTGAGGAGCGTTGCATCAATTCGTGAAGTGGGCTGGGTTGGAACCTGCATGAGGTGATTAGAGTTGAACATCTCTCAAGAAACCATTGCGAGTATTCAAAAGCAGTTATTCTAACCGCTTGTCGTGTTAATGAGATTTGTACATATGCTTCACTTTCTTCTCGGTTAACTCATGAAAACAAATTTATACTATTCATAAAACATAAATTTCAAAATTAAAAATATAAATTTTTGTACATGAAGTCAATCACTTGTATGGAACTTCCTTTTTCAGGAATATTTAATATTTAGTAGTTTGCTCATACTGGTTTGCCCTCACACCCATGTTATCCACTTTTAATTTAGCCCAACATCATGGAATAACGTTTAATTGGCATTTTCAAAAGGTTTGAACAAAGCTAACTTATATTTCCTCATGCTTCACAAAATTATTATAAAAAAAGTAAATTTTAATTCAAACTTTTTTTTTAAAGAGGCAAAGAGAAAAATAAAATAAGAAAGATACCCCAAACGAAGCTTTAATTATTAACAATTTTAAAGATATTGTTAATATCTTGAGATTGAATTCTGTTTATATTAAATTTGTGTTTAACACAATTTCCAATAAAAAAATCCTTAGAGCAAAGAACCTTCTAGAGGTTAGCCTCATTCAACTCAAATAAATTTCGTAAAAATTAAAAAAAAAATTGCAAAAATAAAAATTTATATGGGAGAAAAATAAAATATTGTTTCCCATGCTATACTTAGTATTTAAGCTACAGACCATTTCCATGCAAGTAGCAAAAACCAACTATATAGCATAAAGCAACAGCACAAGTTTAATAACGCCTTTCTTTATTATTCAGAAAATTTTTATGTGATATCATTAATAAAATTGCAATCCCATTATAAACATCTACAGGTACAAATCATCCCATTCTTACTAAAACCAGGGTTTCTTTCCCTGCAACATTCCCATCAACTGATCAAAAACTTGAGATCCACTATCTCGAAGTCCTGAGTGCATGTGCTCATTGGTTACCCAAAGTCTAATCCCACATATCTCTGATGCTGTTTCCATAGCAAGGTGGAAGTTTACATACATATCTTCAAAGTAAACCGCAGCAGCTACAGGAACCTGAAGTAATTGCAAAATGAAATCATAGGTACTATTAAGGATGAATAATTCTAAGTTTGTGTAAGGAATCTTGTAGGACACATACGATTAGGTGTGTAAGTGAGCTGAGCTGGCTCGAGCTCGACTGTTTAATAAGCTCACGAGCTGAGCTTATCGAGTTACGAGCTCGAGTTTGAGCTTGATAAGACTCGACTCATGAGCTCGCGAGCCACCTCAAATTACCTGTGGGAGCTCAGGAACTCAAATGGCAGAGGACCGTGAACTCGTTCGTGGATAAGGACGACGACCGCGGAGGCTTACTCGTTGGTGGAAGGCGGCCCAAACACCAGGCTCGATCTCGTTTATAGTTGGATGAGTCGAATTTCTGACTGACGAGCCGAGCTCGATAAGACCACCACTCGATTCGACTCGAATCGTTTACACCCCTACCTACGATATAAGAAATACCGATATACCTTATTATTGTTGAGCACTTTGACATCATAAAGTGGCGGCCAATCGTCTTTTTCAGCTAATAAGTGAGCAGCTTCTCTGAATGGTTTTAAAGCATGGAACTCATCGAACATCCATGGGAATATCATCTGTAAACCATATTAATGCATTGCATGAAATACTTTCCTCGAAAAAGAAAATAATCTCATAAGCTGCAATCATCAACATTGTCATTAGCCTTATCTCAGCTTTAGAGCTGTCTTTATGAATCCTCATTCTTTAATTGTAATAGATGAGTGTTCTGTAAAGTGTTCAATATAATTTTTTTCAATTTGTTTTCATAACTTCATCAATATTATCTTCAGACTACTCCTTAATAATGATTTTGCATTAATCTTCTAATTATCTTATTATTGAATATTCTACTCTTCAACATGCAAATTCAAATCATTTAGTCAATTTTTTACTACCTCGACTTCACTAGACATCACTCTTATCATCTTCTAATGCGTTCATTTCTCAATCTATCATTTTATAGAGCATATTAGTTGAAAAAATTCTCATAGGCTGCAATCTTGATGATATTATTTAAGATTCTCTATAGGATTATTTACCGTTGAATTCAAGCATGAAGCAAGCCATGTACAAACTGACTAGAAGTTGCAAAGAAAAGTTAAATCTCGAAAAGGTTCAATAATTGGAATCTGAACGTTATCAAACAGTATTATTAAATTGCTTTATCAAAGTTAGCGTTACCTCTCCAGTAAAAAATACAGGGCGAATTTCTTTAGCAGCTCTGATGGGGTCAAATATGCTTTCATATTCACCTCTTAATTTATGAGCAGACCACTGTGATGAAGCACCCTTCAGGATATAAAAAAGGCACATGCATCAATACGTTACTATACCTTCTTTACATGTATCAACATGACCAGGTATACAAGTAAAAGGATTACCTGGCAATATATAGATTCATGCAGAAGAGCATAGAGAGGATTTGTATCAAACTCTACCCAATTTTCAAACTGCAATGGAAGATAGGCAGAAAATAAGTTATCTTTTACTAGAATCTAAAAAATAAGGCTTCGTTTGAGGCGGCTTTCTTACTGCTTCGTAAAAAAAAATTTAATACAAAAATTAAAATTTTTATACTAAAAAGTTGCTTTAAGAAGCAGTAAGAAAGCCATCCCAAACAAAGCCGAAGGCTAATAAAAAAAGAAAGAAATTAACAAGGTTGCAGATACACATGAATGAGCTTTTCAAGTGGAGAAAAAATTACTTAAGGAGATGCTTGGTTGTATTAGGAAGTCAAATGTGTGTGAAGTGGGATTTATATGTTCGTATGGTTCACAGGAGAAGCGGAAGTGAAAAATAAAAAGTGAGATTATTTAGCCTGTATGGTTGGAAGGATAACTGAAATTTTTTGAAGTGAAACAAATCAAGGAAACAAAATCACTTTCCACTTAACCTTTCAACCATACAGGCAAAGTAATTTTGTTTCCAGGTAAGTGATACATAAGATTCTTAACCATCAAACTTCATGATATGCTCGGTCACTTAGAAAGTGATTAAATCGAACCATAAGGCCTCTCACATACATAAGTGGATAATTAAATACAAATAATATAATTTATTATAATAGACTAATTTATGTACATAAATTTGATGAAAAACTTATAATGTGTTAAATTATGTAAATATCTGCATAATATATTAGATAGTAATATGTTAGTAATTTATTGATGTAAGTGGCTTTCCAACTGCTAATTGTAATTAGGATTGGACCTTTATAGCATGAAAGCAATTAAGGGGTTTGACTATTTCATGTTGAAAGAACTTATCTATGTTCTGAAGTTTTTTAGAACATTTCAAAAGTTTCTAAGAGCCTGAGGAACATTCCGTAAGTTTTCAAAAGCCAGAAAAATCTTTCTATTATTTTTATTTTCTTTTTGAATAATCCCAAGTTAGATGCATTAAAAATAAGAGATTGGATTTTAATTATAGTTTGTTATGGGACCAAATTTTCTAAAACGAGTTCCTCTCATCATAGTTTCAACTCTAGGTTTGCAAACCTCAAAAAATTTGATAAGGAGAAGCCCGTCCCAGGGTGAATTGCCAGTTTGTTAGTGAAGGGGTGTTACCCCAATTTTTTTTTCTAATCAGCACATAGCTATTAGAAACTACAACAACAACACCAAACCTTTATCCCACTACGTGGGGTCGGCTACATGAATCCTTTTCTCCATTGTGTCATGTTAAGAGTCAAATTCTCATTTAAATCTAATAAAGAAAAGTCATTTCTAATATTTTCTAACCAAGTCATTTTAGGTCTACCTCAAACTTTCTTAACATAGGTCAAATCTAATACCTTTAATTTTCTAATCGGGTCATCAGAAGGCCACCAATTTATGTGACCAAAACATCTAA